TTTTGCACACAGAATCCTTCAATATTGCAATTTGAGACTTGAATTTTTTCTTCAGTTCTTTTAGCAAAGCGTGTTCTCTCTTTTGGCTTTCCTATTCCAGGTCTTCGAACATTTCAATATAATACTTTGTCTTCTCGAGCAGCCCTTTGACATCTGTTCAGCTCTTTTATTTCATCATTTCTTCCATTCACTTTAGCTACTCAACATTCAATCACAATCCAGAATTGCAGAATAATAAGTATGTATTGTTTAAGTCACCAAGTTTGTGGTAATTTGTTGCAGCAGCTAAAGGAAGCTATAGGAAGCTGCTGCGAAAAATTTTAAAAATGTATAAGTGTCTTTGGAATGGGGTAAGAGAATAGGCTGGAAGAATTTTGAAAAAGCATAATATGAACATCTGAGAATGATAACATCAGCACTGTAACACTGTAGTCCACAATAAGATATAGCCCCCCCCAAAAAAACACAGATGGTGGTAGGTTCATCATAACTCAAACATGTCATAAATTGGGGACTTTCTGTATACAGACTGCCAAAGATGCCAAAAATCAGTTTAATTGTATGCTGTGATGAAAAAAAACAAGGGGGATGCTGTACAAACTTTTACTAATGCATTACAAGGATCAAAAGTTCAAGGTATTCAATCAAACAAAGGATTTTTTGAAGAAATTATGGATGTGGTTCATAAATTCTCTCAATGATCTCAAGCCAGAAAAGAAAGATGGAATAATGCAGCATAGGTCTGTGAAGGACTCTTCTGGCTAACAGAGTGAACGTTTGTAGCATACATGGGAGATCCATTAGGTTTGGGAGAATGTTATACCAGCAGAAACACTGCCAACTTGGACTGAAGAGGGCAGACAGAATGAAATGAAGGAAGGCTGTCAGACTCTGAAAATATTACATGCAGGAAACAGGCTGGTAAAAATACTCAGCAAACATGTGCTAGCCTTTTAAGAAAAAGGAAGGATGAATTTAAGGGCAAAACCTTGGACTCGGAGAAGAGCCTAAAGTCACAGAGGATTATTCCCAGGCCTTAAAACCTAATGGAGCAGCCTGGTTTGCTTTAGACATTGCTTGGGGCTGATGAATCCTTTCTTACTCAACTTTCCACTTTTTGTAATAGGAATGTCTATTTCTGTTATAAAATGTCATCCCATCATTGTATTTTGGGAGCAGAAGAGTTATTTTCTAGTTTTTGGAGTCCACAGGAGAGGAATTTTGCCCCAGAGTGGATCATATCCAGAGTCTCACCTATACCTGATTTAGATGAGATTTGGGATCTTTGAGCTGAAGCAATTTAGGTAAGACTGTAGACTTGAATTGATGGTGTAATGAGTTAAGACATCTGAGGATGTTGGGATAGGGTGAATATATTTTACACATGAAGAGACATAAATCTTTAGTAAATATGTTAGTAAAATCAGCCTGTTAGGACCAGGTTTGCTGGTCTGATAGAGCCTGGTGAAACCATTGAGACAATGGCCCCTAGCTGCTCTTCAGGTCTGGAACTGAACACACACCTGTGACTTACAGCCAAACAAAAGACAGGCATAGGAGTTGAATACTTACCTGAGGTAGATACACTCCTTGGAGAGAACAATCATGGGAGAAAGAAGGGCTGTTTATGCACAAGGAGACACTTCAGGGGGGCAGGAGTGCATGGAGGGATGGACACAGGGAAGATGTAACTATCCAGAGGGAGTGGGAGGGGAGCTGTTGCACTGGGGTAAATTGTAGTCAATGTCATGAGACGAAGTGTGTGTATGAAAAGTAAATTTGCTCTGTAAACTTCCACCCAAATCACAATAAAAATAAATAAAATAAAAATTTAAAAATTTTTAAAAAGCAGCCTGTTAATTATAACACTGGATTCATAGCTTGCTAAAGTTTGTTCAAATATTTTATTACCTGTCCCACACAAAGACAGCACAGACCCTTGTCAATGCTTAGGCACACAACTCTCATCCCCCACACTTCCTGGACACAGTTACACTTTACAGAGCTATTCAGCAAGAACACCACAGTAGTAAGGAGCCCAGAAAACAAATCAAGTCCTGGAGGGCCTCTGCAATTGTTAGGTAATGGTCATAAGAAGGACATAGAGAGGTTAGAAAAGAAAAATAGGTATGTTACAAAAAAAAATTTCCTAGATAAACAGAAGTTAGTGCGTACATGAAAGGAATGGGGATATTTTTCAAAAGGTTTAAACAAGAATGGAATGGCAAACAAAATAAAGTCAAAAGTAATTCAAGTACCAAAAAGATTAGGTTGTACAAATTAGAAACTGGGAGGAAAAAAAAGTATTAAGTTGATCTCTTGTTGTTGTTGTTGTTATGTGCCATCGAGATCTGCTGTTGAATAACATGAATCCATGAGAAGCATTATTTCTCATTCAACTAATATTTCTGTCACACCTACTATGATAACATAGCCAGATACAATCCATGCCTTCCCAAAGCTTTGTTTATACTAAGAAGCAGGCACACAAATGAATATGTGCATATAATTTCTAGTGCAATGACAGACACTGGTCTAATTCCAGCAGCACAATTTAGGGAAGACTGGGAATATATTTTGTCCCCTCTACTTCTAAAAAGGAAATGTACTACTCATTTGGAATTTATCATGTATGCTTTACATTACTTAACATGCTAATTTATAGATTTTGTTTAGTGACCCATGTGGACTATAAACTATTTGAGAATAATGTATAATTATAAATTAACCGTAAGGTCCAGCCAGAATAGCTCTTAACACAGTTTACAAAAAAAAAATTTTATTAATTTGTCTATAGATAAATCTGATTAAGCTTATCTGTTACTAATAAAATAGTCAGAGAAATAAAGATTTAAAAGAATTCTTAGAGAATAACTAGGCCCAAGTCCTTCATCCTACAGTTAAGGAAATGGAAGGCTTTGGTGAAGCCTGGGGGCATGCCTGACAACATAGCAGGTTAACTATTTAGTTCAGAGAGAATCGTGGGGCTGAAGTAAAGCCTGACCTTTACTGGACAAGGATCAAAGAGCAAAAAAAAATTCTGAGTAGAACTAACTCAATACGTATGTTGCTAAAATCTATAATAATAATTTTTCAGCCTACTCCTGGTTAGCACTAATCTACTCATGCTTGGCACATAGCATTCTGGGGGCTCTCAAGAAATTTCCCTGAAAGCAAATAGTTATGAATGTTATTCTACTGAGGACAAGTCTAACATCTAGAAGTTCAGCTTCATTTCAAAAACTATAATCCCTAAAAGTAAATCTCCAGCACCTCACAAAGTAATAGATTAAGGCATCAAGAAGGCAAAGGAAGTAACTTTGGAGTCACTTAGACAATACAGAGAGCCAGGCTCAGAGGGAGACTAGATGATCCTGTGAGAATATCCCTTTCTCCATTTTCCTCCCAACTTCACTGCTTCTCCCTGCCAACACCTACCCCATATATATTTAATGTGTTCCTTTCAATCCTCATATTATAAAGCAGTGGTTCTCAACCAGGAGTGATTTTGTTCCCAGGGGACACTTGGCAATCTGGAAATATTTTTGATTGTCACAACTTGGAGAAGAGGTACGACTGCCATCAATGATTAGAAGCCAAGGGTACTGCTAAACATCCTACAATGCACAGGTCAGCCCAGCATACAAAAGAATCATTGGATCTAAACTGGTGCTGAGACTGAGAAAACTCTGTGATAAATTATCCATGTATCAATAGATACAGTCTATTCATTCATTGATTTGTTCATTCATTCATTTGTGCAGTAAACTTTCTCCAAGTATTTAGTATATCTAAAAACTGTAGAAATGTAAGGAATTAAATACAGGTATTGACTGCTAACCAGAAGGCTGGCAGTTCAAACCCACCAGTCACTCCTTGGAAGGAAGGTTGGACAATCTACTTCCATAGTGATACTGCCTTAGAAACCCAAGGAGGGGTTGCTATGAGTCGGATCTGACTCAACGGCAGTGAGTATAAATAAACACATACATACATAGAGTACCAGGAGTTTTTGGAAGTCACAGTATGTTACAGATTGAGAAAAACTGGATAGACTGATCTAATCTTAGATATTCAAAATTAACTATCCATGCTCTGTTCTGATCCCCAGTGACCTGAGAAGTATTTTTATCTAATAGGAATCTTCCATCTTTACCACTAAGGATTCCATTCTTCAGATTTTATTTAACAGAATTCTGGACTCACCTAAAATTGTTACATCACTTTCTATAGCTCTCTCTCCCCTTTAAACATATTACCATACAACAGGCGAAATGCCCACAGAGAAAGACTTCTCCTATAAGCAGTCACAATAGGTGAAGGGCAGCATAAATCCTGAACAATGGCTCTATAAATCCCAGCACCAGGAAAGAATTTCACATTCTCACCTGGTGATGTTAATACTGTAACAACATTTGATATTGCAGTGTTAGATGAAGGAGAATTATTTTTTAAAGTGCAGCTTTCAGGGATATATAAGAATCAATATTTGGGAGGGTGGAGAGGCAGGGAAAGGCACTATACTTTTTGAATTCTTTAATGGAAACTAAGTTATTAATGTATCAAAATTGACCATAATATATGGCTATAAAAATGTTTCATGAATGTTTAAAATATGCCTCTCTTTATTAATATTTCACAGCCCCATTCAATGAGCCAACAATATTACTTAATAGCATCAGAGATTTTAATATATATTAGTAGAGACTTATTTCAGATTTAGTGTAAGATACTAGTTTTATTTTCCATCCATGTTCATAAAAAGCAAAATGAGTCAGAGAAAATGCACCCCTCTCTGGAAACAGAATCTGAAAGTTCTAAGGTGAAATAAAAGCCATGTTTAATCTTCCAGGTATTCAGTTAATTAATAAGTAGATTTAAATTTAAAACATCAGAACAAATGAAAATGTGACTATGAAATTCATTGTATGCAAAAATAAAACAGAAGGAATGCAAAATAATGTAATTTGTGTTTATGGGAAATTAAAAAAACCACAAACCTAAATCCAGATTGCTTTTAGTTAATGAATTAAGATTTTCCAGATCATCAAATCTGCCTTGTTGACTGTTGCCTTCAGTTGAGGTTATGGAGGATAAGGAATCAATGCCAAAATTTTCTTTCATCTTGAGAGGAAGAAAAATAGAAATGCATTAGTACTGAAAATGCAGTGCTGTTCAAACCAGATAATAAGCATAGTGGAAAACTGGCTCTGCAAACAAGCATTCTCAAGTAACGGTTTATACTGTGTAGTAAGTAGTAACAAATGCTGGAAACTTAATATCTGCAAGAGTACAGGCTAGCATACTCTACTTTTTTCAAACACTGGTTTTTTTTTTAAGAACTTGTCTTATAGACATTAATAAGTGGATTTAAATAAACATTTAGCAAGGTAAAAGAATAAAGATTTATCAGGTCAAGCAAGGTCAATTGTTGATGCACCCTACCTCCTGGGTTATGTGGCTTTGATGTCTACACTTTAAAGAACTGCTGACCTGGAAGCACACAGTGAATTTTTGTATCTCTAAGCCATGTTTTCCTTAGCACTATTTGGTGAAAACCTAGTCACACAAGATAAGCACTATGCATAACATATTGTACTTTTCTCACGTCCTCCTCATTTATACAGAATTTTTTTTCTTCAAAGTTACTATCTTCTGGAATATACAAGTATCACTTAAGTATTTTATTACAATATTTCAAAAGACTTTACAAGAATAAATTAAATGATATTCTGGTGGTGTAGTGCCTAAGTCATCTGACTGCTAATCAGAAGGTTGGAGGTTCAAACCCACTAGCTACTCCGTGGAAGGATGACTAGGCAATATACTTACATAAAGATTTATTGCCTCAGAAACCCAAAGGGGTCACTATGAGTTGGAACTGACTCAATGGCAGTGAGTTTGGTTTTTTGAGTTTTTTATATTCACAATATGGATATACCAAAATTCCTTTCAGGTGAGTAACACTATGTTCTCTATTAGAAATTAAAGTTGTTCAAAACAAAAATGTATTTTATCTATTATAATGTTTCAGGAATTTTTATAAAGTTATATTGTTTGGACTTCAATGATAAAGAGAAGAACCTCTTAGGAACCAAACAATGCTAGTTTTTTCCAAGTGTATTATGAATATAGCTAAGTATGTAACTCTATGAGGTACCTAATGAGACCTAGAGAAGGTACAATGTAACTCAAATATTAAATATGGTTAAGACAGAAGACAGAACTATTCTTGTCTAGGATAAAATACACAAAAACTTTTTCTTAGAAAGGAGAGTATGGAAGAAATGACAGGCAGTAGGTACTTTACCAGGAAAAAGCCCTGATGGCCCAAAAGTAAAGCACTTGGCTGCTAACTAAAAGGCTGGTAGTTCAAGCCACCAACGGCTCCACAGGAGAAATACATGGCAATCTTTTCCCATAAAGATTATAGCCTAGCAAACTTTATGGGGCAGTTCGACTCTGTCATGTAGAGTTGCTATGATTCAAAATCAACTCGACGACACACAACAACTACAAGGACTTAAGAAGAAATTTTACAGTGATTTTTGGGCCATTTGGACATTAAGAAAAAGATAATGGCAGTCATGAAACTGAAAAGCAAGAGAACTGATACCTGAATACAGGATTTCAAGATAGTGGGTATGAAAGGTTAGATCTTTAGAAATATGAGGTCAGTTTTTTTTTTTTTTTTCCTTCCTCCTCCCTAAATAGAGAAGAAAATAACAACATACATTCATTTCCAGGAAAATAATCCTCAGGCCAAAAGAACCAGATCTATACTTCTTCATGGCTTCACTCTTTAACTAAAATGGGATGTGAGGATGTTAGAGAAACTTGAAGTATTTGGGTACTATTTGCACTCCATATATACAGCTATATCTGCAGTTGCAAATAGCTTTCAACAAAGACAGAGGTGATGTTCCTGTATTCTTCTGGAAGAGACACTCTAAAGAGAAATATATTGGGAGTTCCATATTTGCGAAAGCATTTTTAAAATCCATTGTTATTAGATAATGAATTACTCTTCTAGGGGTCCATCAGTATTGGTGTTCTTGTAGGTTGTCAATGAGTTGATTACAACTCATAGAGACCCCATGTGTGCAGAGTAGAACTGCTCCATAGGGTTTTGAAGGCTGTGACCTTTCAGAAGTAGATCATCAGACTTGTCTCCCAAGGCACCTCTTGTAGATTCCAACCTCAACCTTTCGGCTAGTAGTCTAGCACATCACCATTTACACCACCCAGGGCCTCCTTCATCAGTAAGGAAAGGAGGGGAAATGCAGATCCAAGCTTCTCCTGATCATATGCAACTAAGTGTGTATAACTGTCATCATTGTGGGGTAGGGGGAAAGTAGATAAAGAATTAATGTCCCGAGCAAGAACATATAATTATTTTTAAAAAGTAAAATACAGGTTAAGCAAGACACATTAGGACTGAAACAATCTTAATGAGTGCCAGTATGGAGAGCCCATTGAGGTTATCTCACAGAATCAGTAATGGAAAATAAAAAGAAGGAAGCTGGGAAATTTAAAACAGATTTAGTAATTAGGATGCACATCTTTCAAATTGCAAGCATTGAATGTTGTTATAAACAAGTCTTTTAAAGAGCACTTTTACAAACAATAGAGTAAGTGGTTACATTGTGAATATAACCTCATAAGGGAATTGAAAAAAAAACTAATGTTATGCAAATGAGTACTTAAGATCAGGATAAAATTTTGAGTGACAGTATGGATTCAAAAATTGCTGTATTTCAAACACTCTAGATGAAAATGAAGGTGAAGTATTTAGAGAGTTGTACAGAATGATCATTAAAAGTGATTCCAGCAATAATATAGACACTGACACTAAATATGTATTGAAAGAATTTGAATAAAATTACATTAAATGTGTGAATAGGCAAAAAATTAATATTTTAGACATTTTAACATATGAACGTTTGACATTAATCTATGGGTAGATACACAGGTAGACAGGCAAAATGATCGGGTATGTGTAGACAAAAGGGAAAATTTAAGTTTGGCAGAGATTATCTCTATGTACGTATTTGTATGTGCTGTAAGAATGTTCATATTTATAACAGAGCTAACAACAGGGGGCAAAGTTATAACTTCTTAGCCACAGCCAAACACTTTGAAGGAGTGAGTCTCTGGGCTCTCGGGCTTGGACAGAGGTTGCAGGGGACATTAAGCTCAATTGGCATAACAAACTACATAAAAAACATTGTTCTACATTCTACTTTAGTGAGTGGCAACTGAGGTCTTAAAAGCTTCCAAGCAGCCATGAGCGGCAACTAGGGTCATAAAAGCTTGCAAGAGGCTATCTAAGGTGCAACAATTGGCCTCTCCTCATCCTGAACAAAGAGGAGTGAAGAAAATCAAAGGCACATGGAAACAATGAGTCCAAGGGACTAGTGGACCATGGGAATCTCAGACCTTGAGACTAGAAGAACAAAATGGTGCCTGGCTACACCTGCCAAACACTCAGAAAGGGATCAAAATTGGAGATCCTGGACAGAGTGGGAGATTATCGTGGAAGAAAACTCAAAATCATAAAACAGACCAGGCTCACTGGTCTAATAGAGACTGGTGAAACCTCCAAAGGCAAAAGGTAATCACAGGGAGGAAGTGGGAAAAGAACTGTTACATTGTGGGAATTGCAATCAATTTCACAAAAGAAAATGTGCTTGAACTGTTGAATGGAAAATGAAATTTGCTCTGTAAACTTTCACCCAAATCATAATTTAAAAAACGAAAAAAAAAAAAAATTTAACCTGAGAAAGGGAAAGAACGCCAGCAAGAGAGCAAATTATCTTAGAACTATAATAAATATAAATATAATTAAAATATATATAAATAAATGTTTGACTAAGTTTATAGCATAAATGTTGTTGTTGTTATGTGCCATCAAGTCGGATCGGACTCATAGCGACCCCTCCTTGGGTTTCCGAGGCAGAATCTCTATGGAAATAGACTGCCCAACTTTCCTTCCAAGGAGTGGCTGGTGGGTTTGAACTGCCAGCCTTCTGGTTAGCAGTCAAATGTCTTAGGCACTATGCCACCAGAGCTCCCACAGCATAAATATTATGTCTATATAATATTTGACTATTTCATCTATATCCCTGGAAGTTTATATATTAATATGGGCCATATTTCAGATTGCTTTATATTTGGATAAGTAGGAAATTTTCTTTTTATAGAGGACAACAGTCACACTGTAAGTATTTATGAATATCTGGCAATATGTAATCCTAGTTTGCTCCATGTAACTGAATATTCTGCTTGGGGTTGAGCATTTAGAGATACAGGAGTGGGGCTGGCAAAGATATAAAACACAAATGTCAATGGCAGCACACACCAGACATTCTGTGGCAGCTCTTCCCATATCCAGACATCATTCACATATTCCCAAAATATCCTCTTTCTGATAGGCTGTCCAGAGTCCTCCATCATGGGGAATGTTCTGGGGTCTCTTAAATGTACCATTAGTGCTTTGCACAGCAGACTGACAAAACAAACTCACTGCCATCAAGTTGATTCCGACTCATAGTGACCCTTATTTGGGTTTCCAAGGCTGTAAATCTTTATGGAAGCAGACTGCCCCATCTTTCTTCCATGGAGCAATTGGTGGGTTCAAACTACTGACCGTTTGGTTAACAGCCAAATACCTTAGTCAATACACCACCAGAGCTCTTTTTGCATAGCAGAGAGCCCCACAAATTTATGCAGAAAGGTGAACAGGAGAGAAGGTCTGAGTGAGGCAAAGAAAGAAATCACCTCTATCTGCCCTGTGAGAAATAAATGAGGGCACATCACTACAGGGAAGCTGCCAACCACAGCACAGGGAGCACCATACTACACCTGAACATATAACTAAGCTGCCCTTTTTTAAAAAAACATTCCTATATAATAGTTTCTTTTCCTTCATCTAAAGTTTATTCAGGGTAGGAAACAAAGAAAAATGAAAAAAAAAAAACACTAAAAATAATGTCCCTAATGCAAGATTCCAACTGTTGACTGGTCAACTATAATTTTATAAGGAAAAAAGTTTATTAGTGATGTAGAAAGGGCAAACCTAAGAAAATACAATGCTTTCCTGTCAAGTTGCAAATAGCCACTACCCCATTGAAAAGGTAATTTGCTAGAATAGAATACATACAATACAGGAAACAGTGTGGATGACACCAAGATATAAACAACGTTTTTTAATTAAATCAATTTTGCCTTAATTTTCCATGATATACACGCTATGTAAGAAATGTGCAGCTGTGTCTCCCTAAGGAGATTTAAAAATAAATAAATAAATCACAAAAAGCAAAAGAACTCTTCCTTGAAATGACTAATTAGAGAAAATACATCCCTAAAAAAGCAAGGCAACTGCAGTTCACTTACTCCAATGAGAAGCTGTGTAATAGCACAGAAAATACCAGCTTACATTTACCAAGGCTCCATACCTATGCCACATGCCACCCAGTACATCTTCAAAACAATATTCACAGGCAGTCCCCAGGTTACAAACATCCGATTTACAAACAAACTGTAGTTATGAACCAACCTCCATAAAGCCTACAATATTAAAAATATGGGGTACATATAATGGTTCATAATAACAAACGAGTGCTGCTTTGTGACAGGCATCAAAACATTATTATTACTGTATTATGTTAAATATATTTCAGTGTCTCTTGAAGTGTTCCTTTAATGATTTTTGTGCATAGCAAGGTACACTATATACTATACTACGCTAAGACAAACATTTGACTGACATTAGATACGAAGTCTACCTACTTGTTCCAACTTACATACAAATTTGAGTTAAAGACAGACAGAACAGAACTTGTTCATAATCTGGAGGCTGCCTATATAAAAAGACTCATTAAACTTTGCTTGTTTTTGAAAGCTATAAAATGTGGGATGGGGGAGGAAAGGGTAGGATTATAACACCCTTACCATGTTTTCAGTGCTATAGCCGTACTGCTGTGTCTCCTGGGGATATAAACCCATCATGGATCTTGCTTCTTGAGGCTTAGTTGATTCACTATCATGTAACCACTGTGAACCAAAGGGAAGTTCCTCCACTGAGGGAACGGGAGCTGTCCCTTGAACATGCGATGAGGCATATAACTCCCCGGATTGCAAACAATCTTGATACAGCTCATATTCTTCATCCACAAGCATTTCTCTTTCATCCCCCATTTCCTGCAATCTAGGAGGCAGAAATTCATCCATCTCCCAGGCTTCCTTGCTGTTGGCAATCTCTTTTTGCTGCAACTGAAAAGATTCTCCCAAATCTAGAAATGATTCATCCACGAGTTCTTCTTTAAAATGGGGTTCATCTCTAAATTCCTATAAATAAAAGTTGCAAAAAATTTAAACCACACCTGTCTCAAGGCTGCAATATACACATTAACTGGAAAATTAAAACACTGACATACTACAATGTCCTAATCTTATAGGTCAATGATGTTTGAAAATAAACAGCTTTCCATTAAAGATGAAAACTGTAAGCTCACTTCCACACAATCCTCAACTCAGGAAATGGACAACTAGTAAAATAAGGTAGAAATTGCCCTTGGCAAGGTAAATAAATGATTATTCTAAAAGACTCATTATACATTAACCATCTGAAAATTCTTGGTCAGAAACAGGAATTTTGTTCAACTGCTACAATGAATATTTAACTCATGCACCTAATAGAAAAAGTACATAAATATAGGTGTTCATACTATTACTTAAGAAAGCAAAGACTTAAAAGGTCAGGATTCTCAAGTATATGTAACTTCTTAGAAATTATGACTGTTCTAATGTTCTAAAAGTATTCTCTATAAACTAAATATAAATGAAATGTGTCCCAATTACTTCACTTTGAGTATAAAAACTTTTTTGTAAAATACTCATATAGTAGAAATATATTTTTTCATCTGAGATTGAAAATATATAACCCAAAGAAATGAATATAGTATGTTTTTAAATGAATACCTATAACCGAAATTAAATAACTGTACATGTGCAGAAAATTTTTGAGTTCTGGGATAATGCAGGATGAATGTATGGATCTACTGAGCCCATGACCTAATCCCAGGGAATCTCTGGATCCTGAGCACAGTAAGGTATTGCTGTTGTGACTAGTTAGGTACCATCCAGTTGATTCTGACTCATGATAAACCCACGTGCGCAGAGTAGAGTTGTTCCATAGGGTTTACATGGTTGTGATCTTTCAGAAATAGATCACCAGTCCTGTCTCCCATGGTGCCTCTGGTAGGTTCAAACTGTCAATCTTTCGTTAGTAGTTGAGTGTTTAACCATGTGTGCCACCCAGTAAATTCTTGGAATGAATCTCTTCCTCCCCAGTGCTTCCTTACTGTCAGCTTAATATCATTGTGATCAAGCTTTTAAAATTAACATCAAACTTACCAAAATATACCAAATTTTGCAATTCAGTTATTGCAAACAAATTGTAGTTAGAGGGTATTTATGAACATCCCATACAGTTACGAAATTTCAACAAAAATGTCTATAGTAAAAAAGTATACTAGATATTATAGGAATACATACCAACGTGAGGCACTGTCAACATGTACAAAAATACTGCCAGGACAATTGTTATCAAGTAAAGCAAAACCATACTCTTAACTGCAAAGAGCAACATAAATACAATTCATGTTAAGAATAAAAGGAAACCCTTCCAAATATGCTTTCTAAAACTGAAACATGAAGGAGGGTTTTACTAAATAACCTTCTTTCTTTAGAGAGTATTCAAATCAAATTCTTTGGCATAGTTCCATTTCTAGAGATTTTAAACACAGATCTAGTTTCAAAAATCTGTTATATCCTAAAATTTTGAGGACTAGTAAAATGTAGTTAGGTATGTTTGTTTTTGAAAATGCTTTGCATCTGGTCTGTGTCATTTATAGAGGGAATGTGATTCAGGAGAGAAAAGATTTCATTAAAAATAATAATAATAAAGGGAGGAATATTTAGTTTGTATCTATCTAGTCAAGGCAATGGAGACAAGCTTTTGTATTTTTTATAGAAACTTTAGCTCACAACAGAGCTTCCACATGGCAAATATATTTAATTAAATACCTTCGGTGCTTCAAGTATAAAAACTGAACTTGCATCAGGATTTGTTCCTGAAAGTTCAGTCATGCCTTCATTATTGTTTGAATGTAAAATACAGTGTCTTTCTTCTTCTTCTTCCTCATCTTCCTGAATAAAGAAATGGTTGTTATAAGCAAGAGAATATTTCTGTTTTAAACTCTTTTCAGATTAGTTCACAACTTTACATTAAGTACCAATACACAAGAAAATCTGTGTAACTTGTTTCACTGAGACATAATTTTCTTTAATAATTAAAAACTAAGTCAGATTCAGGTCTGAGCTTCTCAAATGTCTTTCTTTTCTTTTTCTTTCTTTCTTTCTTTTTTTAATTATTCCTTAAAAGAAAAGGAAATCACTTTACTAGGAACAAACTTTAATATTAAGATATGTAAAAATGTATAACCAAAAACCCACTGTCATCTAATCAAATTCCGACTCATAGAGACCCTATAGGATAGAGTAGAACTGCCCTATAGGGATTCAAGGCTGTACATCTTTGCAGAAGCAGACGTCACATCTTTCTCCCATGGAACTGCTGATGGGCTCAAAATGCTGACTTCTTGGTTAGCAGCCAAGCCTTTCAACTACTGTGCCAACCAGGGCTCCTTGTATAAGCAAATATAAGGGTATTATTTAAAATATTTAACATTGTTCAGTGCAGTCACTCTCAGTCAGAACAGGTGCATCTATCGTGGTGCATACAAGCTCAAATTCAGCCCCAGACTACAGCACAGTACTAACTCACAAAGGAATCCTTGCTGTTATGTCACAACTGGTAATTACTAAGCATTATGAAAGGAGTCCTGGTGCACAGTGTGGTTAAAGTACTCAGCTGCGAACTGAAAGATCAGCAGTTTGGACCCACCAGCTGTTCCATGGGAGAAAGATGTAGTAGCCTGCTTCCAAAAAGATTTACAAGTTTGGAAGACCTCTGGGGGTAGTTCTACTCTGTCCTATAGGGTTGCTATGAGTTGGAATCAACATGACAGCAGTGAGCTTTGCTTTTTGTGGTTTTATATGTCACAGTCTAGTTGAACACTTTATCTTCACAACAATTCTATGGGATCAAAATTATATATCTGTATAAAAATAGCAAACTCATATACTACAGTCTATGTTTCAAGCACAGATTCAAGCACTTTAAATATATTAATTCATTCACTCCTCACAATAACTCTCAGAGGTAGGTGCTCTTATTAAACCTATTTGACAGATAAGGAAACGTAGGCACAATGACTTGTTCAAGGTTACATAACTAATCAATTACACATGCAGAATTTGACCCCGGCTATCTGGCTTTAGAGTGTGTGCTCAACCACCTTGCCCTGTGATCCCCATCTTATAGTTGAGGAAGATAGGAGTTGGTGAGGTTAAATAAATAAGGACACATAGCCAATGAATGGAGAACTAAGCAAAACCCCATAATCATTTGGCTTAAGAGCACCATTGTCAGCTCCGTGCTCAACATACAATACTGATTCTAAAGCTAGTTCATTCATTTTTCAGATCGGAGTTTGTAGGAAAGAGAAATCAAATTCTTGATTAGTATGGGAATGTTGTTGTTTGATGTCATCAAGTCGATTTCTACTCGTGGCAACCCCGTATGACAGAGCTGAAATGGACCATAGGCTTTTCTAGACTGTAATCTTTATAGCAGCAGATAGCAAGGTCTTTCTCCTACAGAACCACTGGGTATGTCTGAACCACTACCATTTTGGTTACTAGCCAAAAGCTTAACTAGGGCTCCTTAAGAAAATGTTATTATCTATATAGTATATACCATCTGTAAAATACAAGACTTAATGTTCTTGTATTTTAAATGTTTAAGATGTTCGCCTGTTATAAATTCATAGTCTTTCCTCCTCCTGGCTTTGTTTCTACTGAGTCACACTTTCTACCCCCACTTCAGAACATCTGGTGGCATAGTGCTTACGGCATTTGACTGCTAACCAGAAGGCTGGCAGTTCAAACCCTCCAGCCACTCCTCAGAAGGAAGGTTGGGCAATTTACTTCTGTAGAGATACCACCTCAGAAACCCAGGGAGGGGTCACTATGAGTCGAATCGACTCGACAGCAGTGAGTACCACCACTTCTGCTGTGGAGTCTGAGTAAATGTTCAGTAAACACTAGTTAATTACATAAGTGGTCACCAAATGCACCAAGAAAGAGACAAAAAGAGAGAAAGAAGGAGCATCAGAGACAGAGCAAAATATCAAAGATCTATGCCTGGTTTCTTGCATCACTATTTACAGCTAATAAACAATCTTGCTAAAAGAACCCAGATGCTGAAGAAAGAAGCACTTACTTAGTGGTAAAAAGTCTTGATAGTGACTTTTCTCTCTGTCCCTTTACTGGCCTTCCATTCCCAAGCATACTGGCAGGCTTGGACTCATTGAGGGAGGGAAGAAGCCTGGGCAAGATTCCACCCCACAATTATCACGTTCCAAAACACTCTCTGGGTAACGCTCCAGGTTCTTGAGGTTTCTGTAATTCTACTTCTGCCAGAAACAGTAAAAGGATCCACACCCTATTGGTACTGAGTCCTCTTTTCTAAACTGCCTGAAACTTCTTAAAATGGCTTCAAGGTAAAGGCCATGTTGTTTAAGTTACAGGAATATAAAGAGTTCGGTATTTCCTCTAGCAGCACATATAATCCACCAAATAATCATCAGGAAAAATCTAGACAAAGTTTCTGCAACAACCAAAATACTAAGAAGAGAAGGTACTCATAAAAAAATATGAGTAATTTTCTCCTCCTTAATTTGTTCCAAAATCAAATTCAGCATCTCATGGTATCTGTTTTGTTTACAGTAACAGTAAAACACCAAATATGCAATAACAACTCAACTCTTGAATCAGGAACTTGCCTTAGTAATTGTACATGTAGAAACTGTTGAATTAGTATGTGTTCTGCTGTGTATATTCTGAACAACAACAAAATAAATAAAAAATTTTAAAGAACTTGCCTTAGCTACATGGCATTTTTAAACATTTCAAATACCTGCCTTATCTTTCTCCTGTGGAGTGGCTGGTGGGTTTAAACCACCAACCTCTTGGCTAGCAGTCAAATGCTTTAACCACTGTACCACCAGAGCTCCTTACAGAGTGGAATACTTATCCATAAAATTAAATTAAGTCCCAATGTATGCTACAACATGGATGACCCTGAAAACATCATGCCGAGTGAAATAAGTCAGTAGCAAACGACAAACATTGTGTGATCTCACTTACATGAAATAAGAAACTAGAGAAACCAACAATTATTAATGATTACCAGAGGGAAGGAGGAGGAAAGAGGGAATTTTTGCTGAGGGGGCACTGAGTTTATGTTGATGGTGGTAGAATAATGCAGAAAAGTATAGTGGTAATGATTACACCACAAGAGAAATGTAATCGATGCCAAATACACATGTAGAAATTGTAGAATCAGCAAATGTTTTGTTGTGTATATTTTCAAAATAAAAATTAAAACAAAAAATCCTATGGAGCACAGTTCTACTGTAACATGAGGACACCATGAATACAACTGACTCAACAGAAACCAGTTTACTTATACATTGCTGTTATGGTTGTTGGGTGTCATTGAGTCATCTCACACTCATAGCAACCCTAAGCACAGCAGAATGGAACACCACCCAGTCCTGCACCAGCTCCATGATTCGTGCTATACTTGAGCCCATCACTGCTGCCACTTTATCAGTCCAACTTGTTGAGGGCCTTGCCCTCTTTTGTCGACCCTGCACCTTACCAAGCATGACATCCTTCTCCAGGGAATGGTCCCTTCTTACAACATGACCAAAGTATGTGAGACGAAGTCTGGCCATTCTTGCCTCCAAGGAGCATTCCAGCTGCACTTCCTCCAGGACAGACCTGTTAGTTCTTTTAGCAGTCCATGGTACTTTCATCATTATTCACCAATACCACAACTCAAAAGCATCAATTCTTCTTTGGTCTTCCTTATTCACTGTCCAGCTCTCAGATGCATATGAGAAGACTGAAAATACCATAGCTTGTATCAGGTGCACCCTATTCCTCAAGGAGACATCTTTGCTCTTCAGCACTTGAAAGAAGTTCTTTGCAGCTGACTTGCTCAGTGCTATACATCATCTGACATCCTGACTGCTGCTTCCGTTGGCGTTGATTGTAGAACCAAGCAATGTGAAATCTTTGACAATTTCAATCATTCTCTATTTATCGTAATGCTGCTTATAGGTCCAGTTGTAGGATTTTTGTTTTGTTTATATAGAGATGTAATCCATACTGCAGACTGTATTCTTCAATCTTCAAAAGGAAGTGCTTCAAGTCATCCTCACTTTCAGCAAGCAAAGTTGTGTCACCAACATATCGCAGGTCATGAATGATTCTTTTTCCAATCTGATGCCACACTCTTCTTCATATAGTCCAGCTTCTTAGATTATTTGCTCAGCATACAGATTGAATAAGTATGGTGAAAGGGTACAAACCTGATGCACTCCCTTCCTGATTTTAAACCATTCAGTGTTCCCTTTTTCTGTTCAGATGACAGCCTCCTGGTCTATGTACAGGTTCCTCATGAGTACAATGAAGTGTTCTGGAATTCCCATTCTTCTCAACGTTATCCATAATTTGTTATGATCCACACAATCAAATGCTTTTGCATAGTCAATAAAACATAAGTAAACATCTTTCTGGTATTCTTTGCTTTAAGCCAAGATCCCTCTGACATCAGCAATGATATCACTCGTTCCACGTCCTCTTCTGAATCCAGCTTGCATTTCTGTGTCAATATACTGCTGCAATCATTTCTGAATTATCTTCAGTAAGATTTTACTTGTGTGTGATATTGTTCAATAATTTCCACATTCTGTGGGATCACCTTTCTTTGGAATGGGTACGAATATGGATCTCTTCCTGTCAGTTGGCCAAATATCTTCCAAATCTCTTGGCTTAGCCAAGTGAGTGCCTCCAGCGGGGCATCCACTTGTTGAAACATCTCAGAGTGTATTCCATCAATTCCTGGAACCTTATTCTTTGCCAATTCCTTCAGTGCAGCTTCAACTTCTTCCTTCAATACCATTGGTTCTTGAACATATGGCACTTCCTGAAATGGATGAAGATCTACAAGATCTTTTTGGTGCAGTAACTCTGTGTATTCCTTCCATCTTTATTTGATGCTTCCTGCATCATTCAATATTTTGCCCATTTTGTTGTTGTTGTTATGTGCCGTTGAGTCAGCCCTGACTCATAGTGACCCCTCCTTGGGTTTCCGAGGCAGTATCACTACAGAAGTAGGATTGCCCAACCTTCCTTCCGAGGAGTTGCTGGTGGGTTTGAACCGCCAGCCTTCTGGTTAGCAGTCAAGTGCCTTAGCCACTACACTACCAGAGCTCCCATTTTGCCCATAGACTCTTTCAATATTGCAACTTGAGGCTTATATTTTTTCCTCAGTTCTTTAAGCTTGAAAAATGCTGATTGTGTTCTTCCCTTTTGGATTTCTAACTCCAGATCTTTGCACATTTCATTATGTTGTTGTTGTTGTTATGTGCCGTCGAGTTGGCCCCAACTTATAGCGACCCCTCCTTGGGTTTCCGAGGCAGTATCACTACGGAAGTAGGATTGCCCAACCTTCCTTCCGAGGAGCAGCTGGTGGCATTTCATTATAGCAATTGGCTTTGTCTGCTTGAGCTGCTCTTTGAAATCTTCTGTTCAGCTCTTTATCTTGTCATTTCTTCCATTTGCTTTAGCTACTCTTCGCTCAAGGCCAAGTTTCAGGGTCTCTTCTGACATCCATTTTGGTCTTTTCTTCCTTTCTCATATTTTTAGTGAACTCTTGCTTTTTTCATGTATGACTCTTGATGTCCTTCCACAACTCTTCTGGTTTTCGGTCACTGGTATTTAATGCATCAAATTTATTCTTTAGATGGTCTCCAAATTCAGGAGAGATATATTCAAGGTCATATTTTGGCCCTTGTGGACTTGTTTTAATTGTCTTCCACTTCAAGTTGAACTTGCATATGAGCAGTTGATGGTCTGCTCCACAATAAGTTTCTGGCCTTTTTTTGGCTGAAGATATTTAGCTTTTCCATCTCCTCTTGCCACAGATGTAGTCAATCTGATTCCTGTGTACTCCATCTGGTGAAGTTGACTGTATAGCCGTTGTTTGTGTTGTTGAAAAAAATATATTTGCAATGAGTAAGTCATTGGTCTTGCAAAAATTTATCATGCAATTTCCAGCATCATTTCTGTCACCAAGGCCAAATTTTCCAACTACCAGTGATTCTTCTTTGTTTCCAACTTTTGCATTCCAACCACTAGTGATAAGCAACACATCTTGATTGCATGTTCGGTCAATTTCAGACTGCAGAAGTTGATAAAAATCTTCTATTTCCTCATCTTTGGCTTTGGTAGTGGGTGTATAAATTTAAGTAATAGTAGTATTAATCGGTCTTCCTTGTCCTTGTAGGTGTATGAATATTATGCTATCACTGACAGCACTGTACTTCAGGACAGATCTTGAAACATACTTTGTGATGATGAATGCCACGCCATTCCTCTTCAAATTGTCATTCCCAGCATAGTAGAACATATGGTTGTCTGATTCAAAATGGCCAAAAACGGTCCATTTCAGCTCACTAATGCCTAGGATATCAATCTTTATGCGTTCCATTTCATTTCTGACAACTTCCAATTTTCCTAGATTCTTATTTCATACATTCCACGTTCCGATTATTAATGGATGTTTGCAGCTGTTTCTCCTCAATTTGAGTCATGCCACATCATCACATGGAGGTCCTGAAAGATTTACTTTATCCATATCATTAAGGTTGGTTCTACTCTGATGAGGCAACCGTTTCCCAGTCCTACACTGAGTGCCTTCCAACCCAAGGGACTTCTCTTCCTGCACTGTGTCGGGCAATGTTTCCAATATGTTCATAAAGTTGCCCAGTAATGTATCAGACAGTGTTTCTCTGCTATTCATAAGGTTTTCCCTGGCCAATTCTTTGATAAATGGGTGGCCTCTCCCTTCTTCCTAGTCTATCTCAGTCTGCAAGCTGTGTTGAAACCTGTGCACCACGTGTAACTCTACTGGCATTTGAAACACTGGTGGCACAGCCTCAAGCCTCACAGCAATGTGCAAGCCCACAAGATGACAAATTGACAGACAAGTTTATCTCCCTTTGCTGTTTGAAACCTCTCTGTCCTCCCCTTACCTAATTCCTACCTGGATCCTGCTACTTTGTGGTCCCCAACCACTCCTTCCCTTTCCTGGCTCTAGGGGGCTGGGACCTTGCCTGCCTTCTGCCCCTTACCTGGATCCTGCTGTTCTCGTGGTCTCCAGTCATTCCCTCCCTTTCCTGATTCCTATTTATACATATATACATATATTTGTGTGTGTGTCTATGTGTACGTGTGTATGTATATATATACATGTAAAGAAATAAACTTTTAGTATGCTAATATATTTTTAAGAATAAAAGAATTTCAAAGCTAGGAAAAATCTTAGGAGTTCTCTAGTCTTATTTAGTCTTTTTAGCAATGAACAAATAGGCTTAGAAAATTAAAGTTGCACATCTAGTGATCAAATTGCTAGTATAATGTTTCTCAATGTACAAAATTCTGCATCAGAATTACATAGGTGAGTGGACAAGACAGATTGCTGAATTAAATCAGAATCTCTGAGGATGGAAACTGGGAAAGAGTATTTTAACCATCTTCCCAGGGATTCTCACAGACATTATATATCTTTAAGTATGAAATTCACTGAGCTAACTCATAGAGAAACTGGGAAAAGAAACCAGGTTTCCTGGAACCCAGTCCAACACTCTACTACACCATGCTCTGGCTTTCAGGCTTGCAACTTGAACAAGTGACAATATATTAAAACAGGGATGTTTATCATGACTAACAGCATAGAGTCCAAAGCCCCTTGCTAGGTTTGTATTCCAACTCTGCTCCTTACTTCTCATCTGATCTTGGATAAGTTGCTTAATTCTCTGTGCCTTGATGGACTCATGAGGGTCCTTTTCATGAGGATTAAAATAGTTACTCCATAAAAAAAGGTTTAAAATATTGACTGACATATAATAAGACCTCAATAATATTTTAATATTATCTGAAAATTTTCATCATCCAGTATTTTTTATATTAGGCAACTTCAACAGCCCCATAACATGACCTTCAGCCATCACGGTAATATGTCCCAATACAGAAGATTAAGCTATAGGACTACTTCAAGACAACTTCATGTAGGTGCAAATATTACAAGGCATTTTGGTGATAAGAAAACCATATTAAAATCTCATTACCATATAGATAAAATGATATGGTTAACTGATTTCAACTCACACACTCAACTCATGTATTCTCAAATGAAAGTTAAAATGCATAAATATATTTATTTTAATTTACATCATGAATAATATGACAAGAAAGTAAAGTCTGCTAAAAACATGAACATCAAAATAGCAAAAGTGGTGGCAGTAGGAGTAGTAATGCTAGCAAGTTACATTTATGTAATATTGTGTTAAATACTTAAGAAATATAATCTTCTTTAATCCTCAAAACCATATGAGACAGACATTATTTTTTCTGATTTTGTAAGTCAGGGAGATTAGAAACTTAACCAAGGTCACATGGATAGTAAGCAGTGGAACAAGGATCCAAGTCCAGGTTTATCTGTATCCAAAATCCAAAATCTGTGCTCTTAATGATTACACTGTTACAAACTCCAAAACCAAAATCACTGCCTTCGAGTCAATTCTTACTCATAGTGATGCCCAATGGGTTTCTGAGGCTGTAAATCTTTACAGAAGTAGATTATACCATCTTCCTTCCACAAAGCAACTTGTGGGTTTGAACTGCTAACCTTTTGGTTAACAGTCAAATGCCTTATCCAATATGCCACCAGGGCTCCTCCTACACTATGAGGACTTCTCATATTAAGAACATTCAACACTTACCACCAAAGGTTTACAGATGCCAAGGTGCACAGTGCCTGGCGGCACACCTTTCAATATTTCCACAGCTTCAGCAAGTGTGGTGTTGTCCAAACAGTGTTCATTGACTGAGACCAAGCGGTCTCCAGGTAAAAGCTCTCCACTTCTTTCTGCTACACCATCCGCCACCAGAGAGCGTATCACAATCACTGATTTTGTGGAATCTAAGGGATCCTAAGAATCAGGAATCAAAGAAGAAAGATGATTCATTTCCCAGGAAACAAATGTGTGGTGTTGAGACAATTTATGCTTACTCATGAATCCTATTTGACTACTGACTTCATATATCCAGCATTCTGGTCATATTCTTCCAAGAGGTCAAAATAAATTAAAATACCATTCTAAAGAAAGAAGAAAACCAAAATTAATGGAAACAATCAGTCCTAGCGACTGGTACACCATCCGATCTGCAACCTATACAACTATGAGACCAGAAGAACTAGATGGTGCCCAGCTACCACTGCCATCCACTTGGAAGGGATGTAGGAGATCCTGCATAAAGAGGGAGAACAATGTGGTACAAAACTCAAAATCATTTGGAGGCAAAAAAAAAAAAAAAAAGAAGGTGGGGACCAGGTTTGCTGGTCCAATGGAGCCTGGTGTAACCACTGAGACTATGGCCCCTAGCTGCCCTTCAGGTCTGGAATTGAACCCACAACTGTGGTTTCCAGCCAAACAAAGTACAGGCATGCGAGTTAAACATGTACCTCAAGTAGACACACGCCCTGGAGAGAACAATCATGGGAGCAGGAAGGGCTGCTTATGCACAGGAAATAGCTCAGGGTGCAGAAGAGTATGAAGGGATGGACACTGGGAGGAGGTAACTATGGGGAGGAAGTGGGAGGGGAGCTGCTGCATTGTAAATTTTGGTCAATGACATGAGACAAAGTATATGTGAACTGCTGTATGAAAAGTGAATTTACTCTGTAAATCTTCACCCAAATCCTAATAAAAAAAAAAAATACCATTCTAAATATCCACACAAATAACTGATTTATCAAGGTGAAACTATACCTTAGGAATTTCTACTGTATATCTGAGTGCTCAACACACATAAATTTCTTTTACAAACATTTAGTGACTGATACTTTTGACCACAAGAGGTTTGGGAGAGGTTGGACAAGATCCTCTAATACTCTCTAGCATGGTCACACCATGGAACAAAGACAAAGCCCACCTATTACTCTTCTTGGGCAATAAGTAGGCTCTAAGAGTAGTATATACTATGGGAAATCTTACTCCATTCATATGCATTCCACCAGTACACAATCCCCTTGCTAAACCACTGAAGGTCAGAAATAACATGGAAACCATGAAAAATTGTACTGCATTAAAAAGTTTGCTTAATGAGTTAAAATAATATAAAATTATGACATGATATAGGTGCTACTAGATAAGAACTATTCCAACATGTAGAAATATGTGCAAATCTTTTTTACCCCTTAGGAGGGACCAAATTTCTTCTCATTAAACTCTGAAGATAACATTGACATCCAATAAATGTACTTGCTTAATAAAAAACATGCAAAATTAATTATCTAAATTATGTGAGTTGTTTTCTTACTTATAAAATATTCCCACTATTAATTTTTATTTTATTCAACAAACACTTATATATGGGAGTTCTGGTGGCATAGTGCCTAAGGCATTTGACTGCTAACCAGAAGGCTGGTGGTTCAAATACACTAGCCACTCCTCGGAAGGAAGTTTGGGCAATCTGCTTCTGTACTGATACCACCTCGGAAACCCAAGGAGGGGTTGCCTTGAGCCAGATCCCCTTCCATGGCAGTGAGTTTTATACATCAGGCTGTGTTCTAAATGCTTGATAATCATTAATTCATTTAAGCTTTACAACAACTTTATGACATAGGTAAACTTACTGTCTGTTTTACCAATAAAGAAACTGAGGCTCAGATACTTCAGGCAACATGCCAAGATCATTTAGCAGGTAAATAACCGAGGTAGGATTCAAACCCAGATGGTCTGGCTTCTAAGTCCACACTCCTGACCACCATGCTTTGCTTTGGTGCTTGTTCCTCACTCCAATATATGTATGTATACACATACATATATATAAAATAGAAGAAACTAGACAAGCTCTGGTAGCATAGTGGCTAAGGCACTCGACTATTAACCAGAAGGCTGGTGGTTCAAACCTACCAGCCACTCCTCGGAAGGAAGATGGGGCAATCTACTTCCGTAGTGATAGTGCCTCGGAAACCCAAGGAGGGTTGCTATGAGTCAGGTCCGACTCGATGGCACATAACAACAACAACAACAACAGAAGAAGAAGAAACTAGAAACAAAGAGTTGTGAGTGAAAGCAAAAACATTCACATTGAAATGTTACAGTTGAATAGCACCTCCGTATCTTGCCCATATAGTGGCGGTATATGGTGCTAATATGAAACCTCAAACATAGGAAGGGAAAGAAATAATAATAATTAAACCTTAATCACAATAGCATTTACTTTGGTCTGTTTTACTCCAATTACATCATTATGTGTGCATCATGGCTAGATGTAGTAACATGAGATTCCACTACTGTTAGCTTCTAACAAACCCTTTGTGAGAAGCAGAGAGAAACTGCCAGGTTTTGTGTTAGAATTATAAGATTTTGGAATTAGCTAAGTAAGATTTTGCCAAGTTCTAGTCAATGTCTGCTTGAAGTGGCTGATGGTTCTTTTAAAGTGTTTTGGTCCAGTTTTCTATACCTCTGTGTTGCAGACATGAATGTTCATTTTCGAAGTACTGCATGGAATTTTAACTACATAGACTATATTTAAATCAGCAAGAACTACACCACTAATTCCTTGAAAAATACCTTCAAACATAACTTACCTTGTTTTCTCTAACTAGCCTTCCTTTTCATCCCCAAGTCAAGAGACTTTAATAATTTCTTACATGTTCTGATGTATAACATCACATATTTATGAATAGGATTAAATGTAAAATACAGTCGTGAAAAGTCATTAATAAAGTACACAGTGTTAAACTATAATTACACCCATATTTTCAAGTAGAGGGAGCTATTGCATAGGAAGAGCACAGAAGAGGACCAAAAAGCGTACAGTGGTATATCAGCAGGCAATCAGTGCAGTAATATAAAAGAGCTGTCTATTTTGTCACTGGCAACCATGAATCACAACACACTTTTCATTCTGAAATATGAAACCATTACATTTTAAGTCTGACACACTAATAAATAAGCTGTACAATTATGTCCTTCATTTAGGATGTCAGTGTTTGATGAAAGGCTTTTTTATTGGGAGGGAAGGGAAACTGCATAATAGCTTATTCTCCTCATGAAATGCACAGAAAGCAGCTGTGCATTTCATATTAATAATTACTTCATATTAATAATTACTAAACTTTCTTAGAGAAAATTGCAACAGTAAAATATACCAAAAGCAAATAAATGACTTCACTAGGCTGGTGTGAGCGATCTGCAGTTTCATATAAAAGTGACTCAAAAAGTACTATTTTTTCACCCGATAGCTGAATAGGCTTTCACAATTAAACCAGTTGAAATGATAATTAGAAACATTTTAGAGGAAGATTAACCAGGAAATAATGAAAATAGAGTTCTACCCTGGAAAGATTAATGATTTCCCTTACTGTAAAAAGTCATGGTGTGCACATATTTACACAAAGGGCAGTGTTCTTTAGACCCCAAACTAGTAGCAGGTGTGCCTGCATACTAAATTTATTCAGGTTCAGGCCTCTGCTTATTCGAAATACTAAATCGAATCGACCACTCCTTTCCCTGGGGGACAGAACCCAAAGGCAGTTTCTTTGTCACTGGGGAAAAAAAAAAAAGGACAAAACCACACACCTCTGAAGATGCCCCATTATGTATAATCACTACTTCATTTTCTATGGTGACTTTTCTGACTGTGTGACTTCCCACATAGCTGAATGAAGTTGCTTTAATGAGTGTAGTCATTTCTTTTCATAGCCATCACATGCAGCAGCCACACTATGGAGAAACAGCAGCTGTTACTGCCTACTGGGGCAACTGCTATTCTTGAGGCTTTCTGCATTAAAAAATGCTTGAGAGTCAGCCAGATTCAGTCTACTACTCATCAGAAAAGTCTGTTTTCTGAAAATATAGCCCACAATATCTTTTCTACATTATATATATAAAAAAAAAAAAAATTCTAGAAGTATTTCTCCAGACCTCTCTGAAACCTCTAGACCTGTAGTGGATTTTTAATGTCTTCATCAGTTTCTATCACTTTTTATCATTATTTTAAAATCTTCAATTTTTATTCTTTTGGTAAATAACACTGCAAGGAACAGTGTGTTCCAGAATCAAAATGTTGCTTAAGACTAAATAGCCAAGAGAGGGCGCTAAAGACTAATCACAGACCACAAGAAAAATCACATTTCCTAAGCAAGCCATTCTCTTTGGACAGGGGATTTTTCCCTTTTTATTCAAAAGTCTTTTTGAATTATTTTTGTTTACAACACTCTAACAGTGTCCCCAGTGTCTGCTTCAACTCAACCATTTACCAAAGTTGTTAGCCACAGCTCTTAAAAAATATTACCAAACTCCCATGATCAACTGGAGCTCTGGTGGTGTAGTGGACATGAGTGGACATGGCACTTGACTGCTAACCAGAAGGTCAGCAATTCAAACCCACCTATCTTAGCCACTAAGCAAACGATGCTGCTTCACTGTCTTAAGGTAGTGAATATCAAAAGAAAGTAAGCATGTTGGAAGATATATTTATCTTTTGCCTTACCAAACTGTATAAAACTGAGTTTCTTAGTACCACACCTGAGCACTAAAGGTTTACATTTCAGTACCTCACTGACAACAGATTACAGCACACAGAATGAGTGTCATGTCTAGATTTAGAAGTAAAATACACTTTTGCCAAATTTTAATTTCCATTTACTTTTTCAGAAATGTACTCATGTTTTGCCCAAAAACAAAGCTCAGAAGGTAAGAAGGGGAAGAAAAGAATGACAAATAGAAACAGGGTCCCCAGGGGAGGACGTGGGAAAAGTGCTGTTTACATTGAGGGGACTGTAACATATGTTATGAAACAAAATGTGAATAAATTGTTGAATGGAAAACTAATTTGCTCTGTAAACGTTCACCCAAACTACAATAAATAAGGAGCTCTGGTGGCGCAGTGGTTAAAGCATTTGGCTGCTAACCAAAAG